GAGTGGTATAGACCCAGTGTTCCCACACATGCCCCCTTCCCCTGGAGGGATCTCTGCGACAAGCAGAGGCCGTAGGCCACCCCACCTGGATTCTGTGTGCTGGACACACAAAGTGAACAGCAGGGCACAGAGAACAATCCCTCGGGGAACACTTCTTACCCTGCCTGGACCCCGTCCTTCTGCAGAGACACCCTTTCTGGGGCTCAGGAGCGCTGACCTCCACAGCGAACTATGCAGCTGCCATTCTCCTCTGGCAGCTGGGATGGGGGGGGCATGCACAGTGCTGTCCTTCTGCTAATTACAGCTAATATCTGGGCACTCGCCTATAGAATAGAATTTGGGGAAGACGTGTGTTTACACTGTATTAGTTAACCTGCATTCAGATTACTGTGGGAGGTGGAGAAACTGGGGCAGAGAGACATTAGGGACTTTGGCCACGTAAGACGTAGGAGAGTTGGGCTCTGAATCTAGTTCCTGCTTCTCCACAAGCTGTGTTTCTACCCTGCTGCCTTGCAGGTCTCCAGGTGGCCTATGGGCACTGCAGGATTATGCATTTTGGGTGCACACAGCTTAGCACGCACCTCAAACTCAGATACCTGCGGCCATGTGAATGATGCATCCCAGAAAACACAGCCAGAGGGCTTCTGCTGTGGTCCCCATGACGGCACCTGCTGGGGAGGAGACCTGGTGACTCTGTGGCTTCCCACCCCATTCCGGGAGCAGTTAGAAAGGACCCTGTCCAGCCTGGGTCCCGAGACCAGGCCTGAGGCACAGTAAAATAGGGCAGAGTTTCCCACCTTCTGCACTGCTGATATTTATCCATGCTCTGCTGGTGATGGACCCAGGACACCCAATGTCCCCAATGTCACTGAGTCATCCCCTGCCCAGGATTGCCCGGTGGCTGGTGAGCCCTCATGCTGGGCCCTGCCATGTGTACTGCAGGATGTTTTACACCCCAAGCCAGCCTTCCCCTCCTTGTAGGGACAACCAAAAATGCCATTCATCATCCAGGTCCTGGGAGAAGACAGTGTGAGCTCTGCCTGTGAGGACAGAGGAGGCAGGGAGACTGAGGAATGAGGGGCAGTTAGGGA